CGACTGTGTGACTGAACAACAACAACCATCTTGATTTTAGTTCTGTTTCTCCTGTTTTTCTCTTGTGTGTTTTCTTGTGTTAACTGGGGATTTCCTTGTCGTTCCAGTTCTTTTTCTTCTCTGTGATTTTCCGGTAGATGCTGCCGCTCCTTGTATGCTTCCTTCTTCTTTCTCTTCTTCTCCCTCTTCCTTTCCTTGTTCTGTTGACAGATCGTCTCCATAAGTTGTTAAGAAGTCTTCTACCTTAAAAATCGATGTTATTCTATGTTTTTTACCTTTAAAGGTAAAAACCAGTCCTTTAAAGGTAATTTTTTTTACCTTTCAAAAATCAGTCCTTCCGGTAGAATCCATCTGTAAGTTATGTTGTTTTTCTTCAACAATGTTGCCAAATTGGTATATTCTTTTCTCTTCTCTCTGACTCTCCAAGGGATTTCTTTTAAAACATTGATTTCTGTCTCATCCATCATCAATGGTGATGCATTCACTTCTCTCAGTATCTTATCTCTGATAGCCCTCTTATGGAAGCGAGTTTGCACCTCTCTTGGTAGTTGGAATCTCCTTGTGTAGGCTGAATTCATTCTGAATGCAACATCAATTTCTTGAGTAATCTTGTCCACATCTTCCATGTTCATGTGTTCAGCTAATAATTTTGTCATTTTGTCAGAGAGGTCTTCATTCTTTCCTCAGGTACATTTTGGAATCTTAATACAAAAGCAGCCCTTTCAACCTGAAGTTTCGTAATATCTTGCTCCAAAGTAGATTGTCTCGCATCTGTATCTCACATCTTGGTCTCAATTTCTTTTGTTTTAACTTCTATTTTTTCTGTTGTGTTCATTTTTGTAATCTTCTGAGTATTCGATGTTATTTGTTTCTGAAGTGCTTGCATGCTTGTACAGAATTTTTCAGTTATTTCTTTCATTGCATTCTTGATAGGGTTCACTGCTTCCATAATAGAATTTCAAATTTCCTCCATGGTAATTTTGATTGGTATGACCACATTGCTAATTGAACTTAAAATGGTTGCCTGGACCAATGCCTGCATCTCTTTTTGTGCAGGTGCTGAAAATTTAGAGGTGGTAGAGCCTGATGAAACTCCTGGTGAAGAAGCTGGTGTTTTAACTGTTTTAATTTGACTTGCTTGACCTGCTATCTTGAAGACAGGGCTGCATTGGTTAAATCTATTAAGTTAATTCAATTCTGGCGAAATGCCAAAAAGTTTTTCCCCCTCTTTAAGTTCAGTATTTATTTTTCCTTTATTAAAAGTTGTTTGGGAACACCTATAGTCTCTGGCTGACTGCCCAGATTTTGTTTTTAATAGCCAAGTAGGTTGTTAGGGTTTTCTCCAGTATAATGTTTTAAAGCCATAAACCACAAATATGCGTCTCAAGTTCAGTGTCACTTGCCTCTCCCTTCCAGCCAATTGCCTATGGGGGGGCAATTTTTAAGCAGAAACAAAAAGGGGGGAAAAACTGAACCTTACAAGAAACTCCAGAACCAAACAAAGGTTAGTAAAAAGGAGGGCCAATATTAAAACCTTTTCATAAAAAATAAAAAGAGGTACATGTATTTATTAATAATCACAAATTGGCCCTCCTTTTCACTAACCTTTGTTTGGTTCTGGGGCAATTTTTAAGACAATTGGTTGGTATTCCCCACTTAATAAAATTACAGCTTTTCCCTGGAGCCCCTTTCAATTATTAGTTCTTTTATAGTGGTAATCCCATTTATTTTATTTCAAACAATTTTATTTTGTTTTTCTGAGACCCCAAAAATTTGTAAAGGGTTTCGTAGTGTTCCAGACCCTGCCCCAGCAGGGGTAAAAATTGGGATCGTTGCAAAGAGGTCTCTACAGTCTCTGCAGTCCATCAATATATAAAGTTAGCCATCAACATGTGAAGTGGTCAATTACTTAGGCTAGTTCCTTTTGAAGCATCGCCCTGTAGTGAAAAGTGAAAGTAAAGCTGTCTCCATTTGTCTCTTTTCATTGGCCGCATATTCCGGGAGGGAAAATTCCCACCTAAGCTTTTAAGATTTACAGGGCTAAAGTTTTGACAGTTCACTCTTTATAAGCCCTCAAGATAAGATTTTTTACTCACAGACAGTCCAAGCGCTTGTTCAGCAGTGTTTTTAAGCCCCCCTCGGCACAGAAAGCGACAGCTTCGCCGATGGAGATGGGCTCCTCTTCGGATTGAGCATTGGAGGTGACCCCTGGTTCTCCCCGTGAGTAGCCACAGCACGGGGGACCGGATCAAGCCTCTAGCAACCCACTACCCCCTTCCCTGGGGGACTGGGGGGTCTCCGATATATCATAAGACCCTTTAAATCAAACCCGGAAGTGGATGATGTGCTCCAGCACAGCTGTCTCGCCATGCTGCAGTCTGCTTCTCCTCGCAAGATTAATATTGTCGTTCACAGTCATAGCATCCTCTTCCAAATTATCAAGTCTTTGATTTTGTCCCCACAATATAAACTTCTCCATTCCGTGAAATTGTGCAATGTCCACCTTTTACATGAAATTCAAATCCTTCTTCATTCAATTTTGATAATAAACTAGATGTGAACTCACGACTAAACAAGACATCTTTAAGTGGAAACTTGCGAATACCATTTGACAGTTTGCAATAGAGTACTCCATTTCCCTTCTTATAAGCATTTATTCTTGTCCCATTTCCTAAATAAACAGATTCTCATGGAATATCAAATAATTCAGTAAACCGAGAATAAAATTCATGGTTCCTTCCACCAATGCAGCTGTGAAATTCTTATGTTGAAAATCAGATCTGCGAGGCTTGCCGTTAAAGTCTCTGCCTCAGGATTTATTGCTAGGACAGCTCACTATCTTGTGGCCAATTGCATTACAATAAAAATAATGCATGTGTTCTTTCTCTGCCTATGCGAGAATCGCCTCACTCTCCTATTGGTTCTGGCTTTGCAGCAGGACCTTTACTGGTGTGAAAACAATCTGACTCTCCCATTGGTGTTGCCCTGGTAACGGAGTTATTGCCTTTGTTCTGGCCACAAGGTCCAGTGCGGGGAGGGGTGTTCCTTTACATAGATATTATGGGCAAAATCTTCTGCTAGAGAATCATTATTTCTGCCCATAGCCCTGTGCCTGTCCACCTCCTTTGATATCTCAATGCATGCCTTATCAAAGTACATATCTGCCTGAGATTCTAAGTTGCTAGCCACATGTATGTAACTTGAAGGAAGGCTCATATAAGCAGTATTAACTTTGGGTTCCTCTTCAAGCGTAGCTGCCGTGTCTTCCAGTTGTGAAAACAAATCAAGAAGCTTACTAATGTGCATATGGAAACAGTCTTTGTCATTAAACTTGGTGGCCTCAAATTTTCGATGCAGGGGGAATCTGGTCATTAGTTCTGTAATTTCATAGATGAAAATGTTAGGGTGGATATTAAAGATAAGAGCAATTTATCCCACAGTGTCTGTGTTTCCTTGCTATGCCATGTTTCAACTATATTCTATCATAGGTTAAAAATATGAAAACCTTATGGAAAATTAGCTTTAAGTATTGGTATTCTAGCTGTTTTCCAAAAGATAATATTTAGCAAAATTTACTGTATCATTTTCAGGCTTGTGAAGCCTTTTCCACTGCTGTCAAGCTGTATCCGCGTTATGCTGATGCATTTTATGAGCGAGGACTATGCAGAATGCAACTTCAGCAAGAAAAATGCATATTAGATTTCAACAAAGTGCTTGCTATTTTACCAAACCATTTTCAGGTAATACAATTTGAATTTTTGCAACTATTTAAATATATTTTTGATATTATGCATGAAGTGGTACAAGTGGAAGAGAGAAGATTCACAAAAAGTTTCATTCTCTTTACATAGCCATACTTATTGTATGGTTAATAATTCTCATCAGTAAAAGTATTCCTTTTTCTTTGAACAATATTACCTGCTAAGTGGAGATGCAGCCCACCCCAAAATCCCGGGCACATCAACAATGTGCCTCATCTCACATCTCTGCACCTTTTCCCACATTCCCCCTTTAGGCTCTGTATGTGAGTCTTGCTTCAAAATGATCTGTGTCAAAAGTATCTCAGGGTGCGTTCAGACGGACAGCTAATCCGATGATTATGCTGGCTCAAATTTGATCCCAATCTTTTTAATCAATCCTCGCACAACCAGACATCCCCCGGGGGAATTGCCTTACCACGCACTGCTTCCACTGTGGATTGTCTAGATGACATCCACTGAAGGAGGCACGCGTGGTGGGTTTTTTTAAAAAAAAACTTTTTGAGCATGCGCATAGGCATGATATCATGGCCTTGTTTATCTGCGCATGCGCAGAATCAAGATTTTTTTTAAATGGTGCCCATTTGGGATGGTCTGATGTCAGACCATTTTTAATTGCGCGCTGGAACGATCAGATGGGGGAAAGTCCACGAGTGACCCGTCAGAACCAAAAACTCCAGATTTAAAGTAGTATCTTTTTAGTACAGCTCCGAGGCGCAGAAAAACGGGATGCTCATGGAAGATGGACGTTTCCTAGATGTTGATGTCTGGACATTACATTTAAATCCATGAGGCACCCGTGCCTCATGCGGATCTAAAGAGCCGTCTGAATGCACCCTCAGACTACGTTTTGAAGAACAAGGACAACAATGAACTAAACTGCCCAGGTCTACTGCAGGATAAGCAGGTGGCAGCTGTGGCTAGGCATGCCTTTTGCCAGTTTAGACTGGTTAGCAAGCTGCAGTCTTTTCCTAGGCAGAAAAGATCTGGCCCTGGTTGTATCTAGATTAGATTATTGCAGTGCACTCTACGTGGGGCTGCTCTTGAAAAATGTTTACAAACTTCAGTTGGAGCAGAATGCTGCTTTCTAGGATGTTGACTGGAGTGGATCGTAGGGCCCATATCACTCCAGTCTTGGCTCTCCTATACTGACTCCCAGTTTGTTTCCAGGCACAATTCTGGGTTAAAGGTGTTGACCTTAAAAAGCCCTATATGACTTGTGATAAGCATTCCCGAAGGACCACTTACTCCCTTATGAATCTACCTGACCACTATGGTCATCTTCTGAGTCCCTGTTTCTCATGCCCCTGCCCTCCCTTGTCTTTTTTGGTTAGATAATTTGGTGGTCCAGATGAGGGAAGAATGGTGGGGTATAAATTTTGAATTTGCCTTTAGAAGGCAGTAAAGGCAAATTAAAGTAAATTGTGTAGAAAAATGCCTACAGTGCAGCCTTAAGCAGAGTTAGTCTTCTAAGCCCATTGACTTCAATGAACTCAGAAGTGTGCATGCACATGAAAGCTTATACCTTGAATAAAAACTTTGTTGGTCTTAAAGGTGCCACTGGACTCAAACTTTGTTATAGGACTTCACTGTTAGTCTTTTAGTGTCTTTTAGTGCTAGTTTTTTAGTGTTATGTTTTAATATGAATGATTTTACTCATATTTACAAATCATTATGAGACCAGAATTTTGAACTTTACAATACAATATGCTATTGCACTTTACAATACAATACACATACAAGTCACCCAGTTTTGTTCTTTAATGTTTTCCTTTTCTTCTCTAAAGGCATATTTAAGTCGTGCTGCTTTCTTTGGAAGTAAGGGAAGGTACTCTAAAGCAATAATGAACTGTACTGAGGCCATCAAAATTCATCCTAGAAGCGTGAGAGCCCATCTCTACAGAGGAGCATTGAAAATTCACAATAAGGTAAACATGACTGCAGATAACTTGATATAAAATATATACACTACTGTTGTGACTGGCTGGTTAATACACATGCTTGGCACTCTCTGCTGCTTCCTGATACAGAGAATTCAGATCTACCACTTTATAAATCAATATAATAGTCTGTACTAAGTAATCATGTTTCATGAATTATTTCATAGGAAATGTCATTATATTACATAACAAATGCAAATGATAAAGCTGAACAGGAAAATAAAAACTGCACAGCTGGATAAATAAGCACTATTTAAATTACAATAACAGTGGCATTTTTAAAAGAAAAATTGACATGAAATAAAATACATTAGGTATAACCTTTCAAAAGTAGAGGTGTGTGAAGCCTGGATACTTGTGCACACTTATTATATATTAGGGATGTGTTCAGAAATTTTGTTCAGGTTTGGCTCATTTTATTTATAAAAGAAACTGTTCAGATTCTTTAGTAGTTGTGGTTTTAATTTATTTGTAATTTACCGTGTTCCTTTGAGAGAAAGGCAGACTAGAAATAGTGTAAAATAGATAAACAATGCTTGCTGAAGTACTAATGAAATCATTAATGGGACACCATATCCAGTTCTAGACTCTACATAATAAATGAGGTGCTGAACAATATGAAACATTTTACAAAAATGCCCTGAAAATCCAGACATGCTGCCAGGTACTTAATAAGCCTTGGTTTCTTTTTTTGGCTTATAAAAGAGAAGTCAAGGGAGGGAAAACATTTAGCCTAACACATTCATTCTAAAGAGCAGCCAGATATCTCTGGAAGTGTTCAATAAGGGTACAAAGATGATGGTTACCTCCTTTTATTTGTCTCCAGCATCTGGTACTCAGAGATGCGTCACCTCTGGGTAACAGAGTCTTATGTAACATCCTTTTTTTTGGTCTGTTCTGATCCTACTTCCAGTCAGCTTCACAGGACGACCTCAAGTTTTTTAATGAGAGGGGGAGTCTCCCCACACACCAAATTACAATAAAGAACAATTTATTTCCTGCTAACATGGGCACTATGAGATATAGTTATTCTGTTTTCAATTCAGATTATGTGTTTCTTTCAAAGAGGATTCATATCACAATGCCTTTTTCTGTAGACTTACAAAAATGCCATTGAAGATTTAAATAAAACCATCGAACTGGACAATATTTGCACTTTGGCATATTATAACAGGGGAGTCTGTTACCATCAAATGAAGGACTACAAAAATGTACGTTTCATTTTCTTCATAACATTTATAAAATTTCTCAAGTGCTTGAATGCGATCTCTGAATATTAGCATCCTGCTTTTATTTTTAGTTATGGTGTCTCTACAGATTAGTATATGAATGTCCATACCTTTGTTTTTTCAAGAGTAAAGATCAAAAGCAAATTTATCAGATATTACCATAGATATAAATATGGATAGGAATAAATTAATATTAGAATTAATTAGAAAGCTGGATTTAGTGTTTTGAAAGTAAGTGCCCGTGAAAACTTCTTGCAATTTTGGCCTGTGAAAGGAACGTCTTAAAAGCAGAGAAGCTTGACCACCAAGAACATTTGGTTTGTAAGCTATCTGCTAGTTGTGATAAGCACAGATGAATGTTCAGTGGATGATTAGTTTTTAATTCTTACATTCTGACTAGTGCAATAAAGTTGATTGAACATGTGCATTCTCAAGCTGCTTTCCTGTGTTTTCCCTTGTCCCTTCCCCATTTGCTGTTCACCACATCATTTTTAAGCACATAAAACATTTGCATTTCCCTATAAATCACTTATACATGTGAGGTGTCTGATCCTTGTGGCTCCTTAATAGGAAAGGTAGGCGAACTGTCTGGGTTGTGACTCCTTTATGCATGTTTTTGCTTATCTACAGCTGACCTCCCCCAAACTCTTTTCTTCCAAATGAAAAAGTAAATATACTTACAATACATCTTGTCTCTCCTTTAGGGATGATCTCTCTATTCACAAACACATTGTTATACCCAGGGGTTTTTTGAGGCCGGAGCATGCCGGAGCACTGCTCCGGCAGCCCAGGAGCCCGCACTAATGGCAACGGCAGCAAGCCCCGCCCCAGCTCCCTGCACTGAAAGCGCTGCGGCTCGGGGGAGGCCAGAGAGCCCTGCCGCCATGTCCCCTGGGCTGGTGCAGAAGCGCTGCAGCTTGGGGGAAGGCAGAGAGCCCTGCCGCCATGTCCCCTGGGCCCGTGCAGAAGCGCTGCAGCTTGGGGGAGGCTGGAGAGCCCTGCCGCCATGTTCCCCGGGCCCGCACAGAAGCGCTGCAGCTCGGGGGAGGCCGGAGAGCCCCGCCACCACGTCCCCCGGCCCGCACAGAAGCGCTGCAGCTCGGGGGAGGCCGGAGAGCTCCACCGCCGCGTCCCCCGAGCCCGTGCAGAAGTGCTGCGGCTCAGGTGAGGCCAGGAGAGTCCCGCCGCTGGCTTCCCTGGCCCCTGCTGAAGCGGTAAGTAAGGGATCCACGGGGGCGGGGG